GGGTTGAAACATGATTGAAAGACGCAATCAACACCGGAATCGTATGAAGAATTCCATAAAATTGCTTGCGATTATGCTTGTTTACCACATCTTATAAAAAAAATTTGACTTGTACTGACATCATTTTTTAAAGAATTTCAACATACTACTATGTTTACTAAGTACGTAAATTGATGTTATTAAAACTGATTAAAACACATTGGTTGAACAAATTATAATCCTTTCTAAATACTAGTAATTTGTAAAAAAAAAGAACACCTCTCCCATCTTCGTTTTCAATGTTCAAGATGATCTTGGAAGCCCTCAGTAATAAAATGTTTCATTGACTGTATCGTTTCACATTTTGATGAAATCGTATATAATAAGTCTGCTTGTTGAACTCTTGTTAATAACTCCCTATGACTCCACCTGAATTCGAATAATAGAGAAAAGCTCAGAAACATAAATGTTCATTTATGTACATAAAACAATCATGTTTATAGGTTTACTGATAACCACTAAACTCCGGGAACATGACAAATTAAGTAATAAAGTAATCATCCAGATCTTAATACGAAATCCGTCAATTTTCTGGAAGCTATCATGGCGTGCACTGATTGGGAAATCTTTTCTCAGTATATATCTGGATTATATAAGTTTTATCGAAGGATTCTCGTGGGATCCCAGCGATATGAACGACCATTACCTCACATTAAATGAATAACCAATGAGAAAGTATAATAGACTTTGTATATATCCCCTGTTTTTATCAATAAATGACGTTGGTGGTCGCTCTAGCCTTTCATCGTCGTTTCAGTTTAATTGGCTTACATTAAAATGCTCTATTAGAATTTGTTATTTTCATACAAACGTCTTACTGTTCCACTAAATCCCAGATAGCTTTCCACAGGTTTCATGACAAAACATTAGTACTCCATTTTAAGTATTCTTAGTTCGTACTATAATTCAAATACTCCTAATCGTCACACCTGTTTTCTTTCTATAAAACATCGTTATTGTTATGACTTTCTCTTCAAAAATGAACCCAGAGTATTAATATAAATGTAGATTTTTTCTCTGTTGTTTTGATCATTCTTAAAAATTTAAGAAATTGTAACAAAGTTAATTGTTAAATGATGTAAATATTTAATCAAGTTCCGAATAGGATCAACAAAGAATGATAATTTTTTTCACTAAGTGCGCATTATTGAGTCAGGTTCTACAAAAGTGTCATATTTAGAACTTGGATTCTCAATATACCGAGTATAACTTGAGAACTCGAACGCTAGAACCCTCATAAGTCGCAAATGAGAAAACAGAAGACAAGTGGAAGGAATATTATTTCAAACAGTGTCAATTATGGTACAAATCTGTCAGGTATTTATAGTATTTAGTAAAATACCAAATTATCATTATAGTCCTCCGATCCGCATACAGGGGGTTATTAGCATTTGTCCAATAGGGAAGCTACGCGTAAGGATTCCAGAATATTCTTCCAAAAGATGATTGGATGGAATATCTTCGGCTATTTCTGAGCTTCTTAGAGCTTCCACGAGTTCACCCGTAGGCCGTCCTCACAAAAACTTTCATCTTAAATGTTAGAATGTCAAACACAAATTTAAAATTCTAATAATGTTCATATGTTTCCTCATGTTATCGTTGGGTGAATTGGAAGTAAGCGTGTTACACTCTTAAATCTCAATAATTGTGAACTAGGTTAAAAGTTATTGTAAGAGACAGTGGAAATTTGTTTGAAGAGTATTTAAAATGTATTATTTCATTGAAATTTCAATTTGCTTAACTAGAATCAAACTACCACATAACTAACACATCATATTGAGTTGATGAATAAGATACCAAATAAATAAGGTAAATCTGTCAACTTTTATAAATGACAATTGAATAAGATCATTTAGAAATATATCAAACATTTTTGTTGTTATCATTTATTCTGTTTTGTTAAGTTGCTTAACATAAGTGTATATTAAAAAAAGACAATATAAGCCATAAGACCATGATATATTATGGTTAGTTATTAAAAAACCTTTATCTATTTTACTAAGTTATGACATGAGAAACTTGACAGTTTTTTCTAATATCTGTGAAACAATCAAAATCTTTTAAAGAATGTTTTAGATGATATTATGTAAAATCAGTTCCAATAGTGTATACTTACACATTAGTTATTGTTATAACGGTTAGTTTTCCATATTTACACGTATGGGAAGTTAATTTACCTTAAACGAATATCTACACTAGATTCCTTCCTAGTGTCTATTCTAGAGGACTTCAACAAAGCTCAGATCAAAAACACGTGATTAGCCTGACTAGGATGTATATATATTTCCACACCAAAATCCGACACAATCCAAAAACAATGAACAATCAATAATAATAAGGATAGGGGAATATATAACTCATATAATACCTATCAGACTATCTGCATGTTTGACTAAGCAAACAACCAATCATTATCGTACTCGCTTACACATCATACTTATCAATGATCATTATTATTTGTTTTCTTTTCAATATTTTTTTTAGTTTTCACTTAATTTCACTAATATTGGTGCGTGCTACTTATATTGACATAAGTAGTATATAACGCGAGTCAGGAATGTCTGGTAGTGGAAGATTGGGAAGATCAAGAAAGGAAGAACGGGAATAGAAAGCAAGTCGTTTGGGAATGCAAGAACAATATTATTTTAACTCTTTTGTTTTTCATGATGGTCTTTTTTAAAACTTGTTTATGGACAGTTGAATCAATGTAATTTGAATTTTATGTCATTTTATAATTCAATGTTTAACTAAAGAAAAACGAGTTTATATTATTTTACCATTTAGAGGCGCATCAAAAAGTGTCATGTTGAAACGAAGACTTAAATTTACCATCAACTGGACATTTTATGCAGCCCAACTTGTCATTATTGAAAAGGCAAGGTCTATGTTTTACCAAAAGCCCAAACAACACGTAAGCGATTGTGCCACATCCCATTGTGTCTATCAATTTACATGTATGTCTGGAAACATGTACATAGGGAGGAGCAATTGTGGTCTGCAATTAAGAGTGGGTGGACACATACCGAAATGGCTGCAGAAGCAAATAAATTCCAGTGGTCAAATAAGACCACAGGATAAATAGACATCATCCTCCATTGCGAAATATTTGATTGAGTCTGGTCATAAGGTTGACATCAAATCAGCATTTGTTGTGTTGTACAAAAGCCTCCAAGGACGTATACTAAGGTTTATTGAAGTCTTGGTTATACAGAAACTGAAACCCCTTTTATGCGTTCAGAAATAATTTGTCCTTACCCTTAACGTGCCCTGTTAATACTGATTTATTATCCAGAGTGGTTATCACATTGTTTTTGTGTACTTTATTTTTCTTTATTACGGCTTACCTTTAACCTGTCTAGTTGACCTTTTAATTTCCATATAAAATGTCTTAACAAGTATATGTATGATCAGATTGTTCGAAATATACTGCACAAATATATCACATAATTCTGATAAACTTCGTCTTCTCATTACATTATCGAAATAAATATTATAAATTAATAGATTATGGAGTAAAATCTCAATCTGGTTGATTAAAATTTGATTAGTCTAATAATGGCATTAAGCCTTGATAAAATGATGAAAATTAAGTAGTTAACGATGTTTGATTTAAAAGTGTACAATTTTATTGAAAGTAGAAATGTTAATGATTGAAAAAGTCTTGATAACTTATGTGGATAAGCAAGAAATAATAGTGACAGTTAGTTTCCATTTGTTTATGGAGGGACTGATATCCTCTATTCGTTTATGGCATTTAATCGTATATCGTTTTATGAAAATATTTTTTATACAAACATGTTATTACATTAGTTAGAAAACCCTGTTATTATAGCTAATAATCTCCTATTATCAGTTCATTATCCAGTTTGTGTCAATAACCCGGTCTTTTGAACAGTCGACACATGTGGGTACATCGCACGGTTGTGTTAACCTATTGTTTACCATCTTATCAGTTGATTTAAATGATGCTAAACCTGTTCATCATTCATTATTTGTTCCAACCTTAGACAGCTAAATTAGTTAGTCTCATAATTATCTAGAGCTGTCTCCTTACTTTTCATTTATCAAAAATCATCATGTGATCCATTTTCATTTGTATCATTAACTTGGATTCGTTTAAAATACTTTTTCATATTTAAGTTTATACATTACTTACTTACTTTCGCCTGTTACTCCCAATGGAGCATAGGCCGCCGACCAGCATTCTCCAACCCACTCTGTCCTGGGCCTTCTTTTCTAGTTCCATCCAATTCTTGTTCATTTTTCTCATGTCTATTTCCGTTTCCCGACGTAATGTGTTCTTTGGTTTTCCTCTTTTCCTTTGGCCTTGAGAATTCCATGTGAGGGCTTCTCTTGTGACGCAGTTGGGTGCTTTCCTCAATGTGTGTCCTATCCACTTCCAGCGCTTCTTCCTAATTTCTTCCTCCACTGGGATCTGGTTTGTTCTCTCCCACAGTTGGTTGTTGCTAATAGTGTTCGGCCAATGAATCTGAAGTATTTTGCGTAGACAACTGTTAATAAACATCTGTATCTTCTGGATAATGGCTTTCTTAGTTCTCCAGGTTTCTGCCCCGTACAGTAGAATTGTCTTGATATTTGTATTGAAAATCCTGACCTTGGTGTCGGTTGACAGTTGCTTTAAGTCCCAGATGTTCTTCAGTTGTATATTAAATTCAAGTCTGACCAGGATCTAATTTTTTTTTAAAAACGACACAACTAAATATATGTTGTTATCCCCTTTATATATCATTCATGCAAACAATAAAAAACTTTGTACAATAAACATTACTGTTAATAAACAATTCATTGACACAAATTAATGTACACTACTTTTCTCAACAAATAGGTTGGTTTTATTTTACAAGCGACTACTATTATACACACATTAAAACAAACAGTTCTAATAATAATAATAGCGAACTTCACATTGATTCATTGGCTTCATATATGTATACAGTCAGTTAACGAAATGGGAGTGAAGAGATCTGAGATTTAGATTTTCTGAAATAATAATTAGAAAAAAGAAAACCCTCAATAGATATAAATCATTAAAGTAATAACTAGAAATACAAGAAATTAGTTAAAATAAGTAAAAACACACATGAATGTTCACTTAAATTATTTTGGTTACTTATACAAAATATAGAAAATAAGCTCATTGACTTATCAGTCAGTCAGCTACAACGTAGGACCAGGCACATGTATGCATCGGTCCAAGTTGCCATACCTCATTAACACAACAAGATGAACACCGGATTCATAAAAGTAGTTAATTCAGAGGTGGTAATATATAAAAGAAAGATTGCATATAAGGATATAGTATAGGAAGAAAGATATGAAGCGATTTTAATTTCTTAGTTTAAGGGAAGACAGAGAGTGGATACACCTAAGACATTGTGATCGATTCTGAGTCATGTCACCAAGACTCTCCAACCATTGGTTACGATAGTCACGCGGACCCCAACCAAGTAGTCTGCATCTACTAACATGGCTCAGACTAGAAGTTAGTGACTTCAAGCACTGATGCCACGTTTTGGTTTGACTTATAGAACTAAAATAATGATTTAATATATGAAAGATCATTTGTGTAGGTTTTTTTTATAATTAACTATACTTGACTATAATTTACAAGTATGAATGTCAACTAAATTAATTTCAAAGAGAGCACAGAAAAAAAAAACAAATTTCGGTGTAGAAGAATATGAATTCATTTTTATTTCATCAGATTCTCATCAGCTGCTTACAATCAAACTTATGACAGGGATTAACATATTTATAAATACGAGGGTGATTAGATATGAATATGTATATGATGATATATCAAAGATTCCGATAAAGTTAATAAAGGTTTAGATTTGTTTCAGATAAATAAGTGAAATATGAGAGGAAAAGTTCCAGAACATTGAGATAATGACTAGAAATCATAGAGTTAACAGACATCAGATGATTGTCTAGTAAAGTAACTGACAACAGATTAAACGTGATAAAGAAAAATATGAGTCGAATCAGTCAGTCATGAATTCAAGAGAAATGACAATGATGTAATCAAAACTTGAGAAGTTGAAATAATGAATGATGCAATAAAAACGATGTAATGTTATCAGGTCAAAGAAAGGCTTATTACTGTTTCTTTTTGGACACATACATCTAGCTTTAGACGTTTGATTGCTATCGCTTCGACAAATTTCAGAGGATCGAAATACGATTGTTTATTAATCACCTTGAAGGAATCCAGTGTATCCACTTGATATTCTGTATCTATATGTCTCGAAATGGCACTGCTAAATGCTTTTAATCTACTTGACCCTAGACGTTTTGGAATATGTTCTTCGAATCGGACGTAGGCTCTCCTTTCTGTTGTACCAATGTAACTGCTTTGCAGATACATATGGATTTGTATAGATAGTTGGTGGTAACATAAAAGAGATACCTATTGATCTCTGATTGTGTTGTTTTGGATAAGACGATCATTTTAGCTGAAGGATAAGCTCTTGACAATGCAGTTTTTAGTCTTATGATGACTGACCCTGTGACATCATCACCTTTGAATTTAAGTTGAATAGAAATAGGTGTTTTGTTTACTGTAGTTTCTTTGTGTTTTTTATCTTCACTTTTACTTAACTGGTATCAAAATTGTAAATTTAAATTGTCACTTTGATAAAAATTCATCGACCACGTATAACCGATATGAAAATACAATGAGATCTAAATTATGATACAGCTAAAATGTTTTTGTATTGTGCAATGAAATCACTAGATGATTAAATACTACATAGATGTTTTATATCAAAATTAAGATCAAATATTCTCAATCCTCATGACCAGTTCATGTGCGTGTCTGTATGCATGAAAGCATCGAGATCACCCGCCTCGATTCTCAAACATATATAGCATTTAAAGTAGAAATTGATACCCTCGACCACACAAATAATCGAAATCATTTGAAAATCACGAGACCTTGAGTACTTACGTAACATTAACTCTCTCATGTAATACATAATTTGTTAGTTAGACAGCTATTTTGATCTGATTTGCTGTATTTTTTTTAGTTTAATACTTGATAGGACAAATATTAGCATTAATTCAGTCAATATACTTTCTAACAACTTAAGTCCAGGTGAATAGTATACTGACGTTATTTTGATTTAATCATCTGTTGTTTTGCAATTCTATGGGTCATCAGAGACAAGTAAAAGTATATTCTTCTTTCATTTAAATTATGAATTGATTTAAGTTAAATAATCATTGAAAGTTTGAAAGTAGTAAACGACTGTCCTGTCTTATTATTGGGACTACTTAGTAAGTGCGCATCAACAATCCCGCACTTGCGAGTTAAACCCTGGACGTATTTTTGGTGAATGTGTTGATTCAATTTCAGTGATTTTTCATTCTTGTCATTCCAACTTTCAGCTATATATGAAAATTGGTTAAAACAATAAACAAGTGAGTTACAACATGGTATTTTGTAAACTTAGTTATTCTAAACTTAGTAGTTAACTGAAACTCTGGATTAATTTCATTTATTTCTAAGGAAATTCGTTGATTTCTTAGATGTGCATTAAAATCGAACAGTTGTTTCTTTCTTCGTAAAGATTGTGAAAACATAACCAAATCTACCACATGGTTTACGAGTGCGCCTTTTGCACATTGCGGAAGCCATCGCAATCCATGTTTACAAACCTGACCTTTGTATCCAAAAGAAATTCGTACAACCACTTTCTCTGCCCTGGCCTTTAGTATAAAATTTCCGTCATAAGAATTATTTTTCATACTTCTTCCACTTCTTTTTTTTAATTTTTTTAATTTTGTTTCTATTGCTTTTGAACCTTATAACTTCTTAACATTCATCTCTTGATTCTTACATAACTACTATCCTATTGACCATCCATTAAAATTCTGTTCCTTCTTTGTTTCTTATATTACGCAACATAGCAAGTTCTTGATTATTTTGAATATTAATAATCCTCTTTCTTCCAATTAATCAATGTTAATTTAAATGTCATTATGTAATTATTACGTAACATATCCACTCGATGAGTATTATATTATTATTGTAAAACGTATACATATTAGAGTAGAGCCATGATGAAAAACTAATTGAAAAGAAATTTCTTCGCTCAATTCGTTCCTTCTTTATTTGACAAATGGCGAAATGGGAATAATCAATCCACTTTGATGAATCAAGAATAAATCAAGTTGTAAAAATCTCACTCACCGAATAATCGGGTTAACTGCTGATTTCGATGGTGTTAAGCTGGATTGTGAACGCCACTGTAAATCTAAACGTGTGTAAATCCCAGCCTGACACTAAATATTAAATGTTTTTTTTTTAAAAAAAGAGATGAGATCACCATATGTAATTATGAAACCCGAAATAATAAGTAGTCATTTTTTAAAAAATTGTATAAAGAAATAAGAAGATAAAGTTGATTTGAAAAATGCAATGTGCTTAGATTGTCGGCTTCATTATCACTTAGGGTCAAACACTTTAATCAAGTAAAAACTCATATTCACAATGATAGTAAAAAGTATAATTGAAATGAGACAAAGAATTGACATAAACATAACTTTTAAAACGTTACATAGGAATTGTTAAGGACCAATTCTTAGGCTTATAGATGGTTTGGTTGTTCAGAAATTTATCCCCCTTGGTTGTCTGTTAGCCGTGAATTTGTCACTCTCTTTTATTTACAACCACCAACTTATATTCACTAGAACGTTTGTTTCATTAACCTTTTTTATTTCTCACATATAAATACCCTAAAAAGTATGTGTGTGGTCAATTTGTTCAGAATGTACGGCGAAAATATATTACATTTTACAGATATCATTTACTTATCGAAATGTTTGATTTTGTACTGTAAATAGTAATCAGTTGATTGTCCTCTCGAGCGATAAAAAATACTGCGCAGAAAATTTTATGTACGTTTAGGCATTAACGTTCAAGGCTGAAGGTCATAGGTTCACAAAACTGAGGAGTCCCAAACTAGAACAAAACGATCGTCCATTGATTACAGGCTTTCAATGGTTGTCTAAGTTAGATCAGTTTTTGATTTCGATAAAGGTTATTCGTAAAACTACATCTTGTAGTAATTTTATTTTATTAAATTGTAGTAAGCTAAGAGATGTATACAATTATTGTATGCCTTCCACACACTCGGAACCTGACTATTTTATAACCAACCTTCAAAAACTGAACGGAAGTTCTCACTAAATTAACAAAGTCCGATCTCAGCTTTACCGTTTTGTTTCGATATGCAAGAATTAGAAACCACTCAATAGCTGCTCGACTAAGCATTATTTTTAAATTGGTCTTCACATAGTAATTTAAAATAACACATTACTTAATGACTTACTTAAGCCTATTATCCCTTCTGTGATAAAGACCACTGACTAGGGATGTCCATTCATTACAAAATATGTTTTCAGTACTACCAATAGTACTGAGATCTTAAATTACTATCAACAATAAGGAATGTTCGAAATCCGGTAACTCGGGTGGAAAAAGTTTGGTGATATTGTGTCCTCTGAACAGGGCAATTTAATTGCACACCTTATGTAGTCATTCTGCATAACATCAACAGGACCTACTTCAAATGTAATCTCTTTCACGAGTGCCAAATTAGCCTATCCTGATAATCTTGTATGTGAATAGGTGTCTTCATATTTTTTTTTAGATATCTTCGGATTCCCGATAAATTGACCACTGATCATGGATGTTAGCCACATTTGGTGACAACTTGAACTTACATCGGTATATTTCATGAATTCAAATATACCTGAATTACATGCTCCTAACAATTTCTCCATCATTCTTTAAGATTATTTTTTACAGAAAATTGGCATACTCACACTCAAAATTTTATCTTTATATGCCTAAGTGAATTTATATAGGTCACTTCTGTCGTATATTTTAACTCCTAGTCTTTATTTGTGGATAATTAGGTGAACACACGTCTAGTTTGTTCAGTGTAGTATCTCACAGTGTAGGACAAATTATTTTGTAGGTAATGTTAGATTAATCTTCTTTTACTGTTATTTCCTTCAGTTTGTACAAAATGTAATGAAGTGATTATTGTTGATGTGTGATTAACTCTTGTTTTAAAATTCTTATAGATCTTACTGAGATGTTTTTCATATTCACAATAAAACTATCTGTCTAGATTGGCAAACAAAATATTATTAAAAGAAAGAGGTTTTTATGTAGCTACTTTGAATGCCTTTTTAAAATACTCCATAATCAAGCACAGATATTCATCATTCCTATGTTTGATTTACAAATATATTGTGTAAAATATTTATGAATAAAATTTTTAATCCAGTAAGAGGATCTTAGAAGTGTTATATTTTCTTATTTGAATGGATTATTCGTAAACTACTCATTGTATTTCAAAATAATATCAACATCACATACTTCTACGAAGAATGTAGTGAAAGCTTTAGAATCAAAACATCTTGAAAATATTCTTTGATTGGTCAAACTGAACTAGACGAACACATTTTGAACATGGAAACAAAGATCGCAAGTTGGATGCTATCAACATTCAATCAATTAAATGATTTATTTCATACACACATGTATTCTATGAATTAAGAAAATTGATAAATTTGATAATTATATTACTCGAGTAATAAAATATAAGAAAAACTAACTTCTTTAGACGTTGGTATCTCTGAACACGTGGTTGTTTTTTGACGTTGTGCACATAAGAATTCAGTGAGTTTTTGCATTCGACGTAAATCTATGTTCAGAAAGTAGGATCAGTAAAGAACTTTTAAAAAAAATAACAAATTAGGCAGAGAAATACATTTAAGATTTAAGTATGAAAAGTATTTTCTAGCATTTAATAGGTCATCATTTCGTTCAGTTAATTCCTAAGTAGGGAAAATAAACCCGAAAATGGATTACAATAGTTATATAGAATAGATGGGTTGTAACTAGTAGCTAACACATCATATCAGCCGAAGTAAAAATAAGTTAAAACTTCAACAACAAGTGTGAACCTTGTGGAAAAGCAGACATTCTCAATATACGGTTCACACACGCAATACATTTTTCTTCCATAAAAGATAATTCTCACATTTATAAGATCGGTGGCAGACGACAAGAAGTCTTGACCATGGGGTTTAGTGTCCATTGACACTCATAACTAAAGTGTATCTATAGTTCAAACTTCACTAGTTGGTGTTACAGTTAAAGATGGTACCATTGACTTACTTAGTTGACAAGTGACCTGACAAACTATACCCTCCATAAATCAACTTTCAATAAATTCAACAAAATATTTATTAAAATCGAAATGAACTAACCTTCTTGACGTTGATTATCTTGATTAATTCGATTACATTTTCCCGTGTCCCATACACGTTCATCCAGTGTTGACGATAATAATCCATTCGAATTAATTATTGGTGTTAAACTATTCACTATATTTTCAACATCATTTGATTGGTTAATCTGAACGAGTCGATCTTCATATTTGGTATCAAATATTGGTTCTACAGGTTGATTATTAATTGTTGCTTTAAACAACTATATATTAATGAATTGAATGAAACAAGTTTTCATGTAAATATATGTATTTTAAATTTTGGAAAAGAATACAAACAAAGACAGTTAAACAGTTACAAAATAAAAGGTAATTACTAAATAAATCAAATCATGTTAATAATAAGAATAATAAGCTGCGTTCAATAAGTAATTACCATTTTTGTAAAATAATTTTGATAAGTTTGTTAAGAATCACTCTGACAAAATGATATTATAAGTGTGAGGATTTGTGGAGATTGTAGTGTTTTTACAGTTGAAATCACGAGTTGGTCTAAGCTGGACCACCATTGAAAACCTGGAAGCGATGGATAGCCGTTTCGTCTTAGTATGGAGTCTAATCTGTGTCGGGTGTGAAGTAGATATCCACCTCACGCATTGAATTAAGGGTGGCGCAATATCATGGATTGATTGAAGTTATGCAGTAACACCGTTGGATGCCAACTCAGTGGTCTAGATGTTAAGCGTTCGCATGCAAGACTGAAGTTCCTGAGCTCGAGTCACGCGTGCATGATCGTGGATATGCATCACTGAAAAATCCTATACTAGGACGAAACAGTCGTCCAGTGCTTCCAGTTTATAATGGTTGTCTAGCGTAGATCAACTTGTGATTTCAACCGTAAAAAAAATGATATTGCATATACTACTTTAGGGTAAAGGTTCAATGAAATAATTGTCAATTAGGACGTTGATTAGTTCTGAATTATGCTATTTTATCGTCTAAATAATCCTATTGTTAAAACAATATAAATTATTTATCCATGAACTTATCATACTTTTGGTTGATTATAAATGTGTTTAAGTAATAGATATATTTTTATTTAATACCAATTCACGCCAGTCACGTATCAGACTATATCTTTTGAAATCCATACAAAATATTGAAGAAAATAACTATAATTGTTGATATTTTGTGTTGTTCAGTGCAATCCGTTTCGTATCAATACATCACTCTATCGGCTACAGTTAAATTTCGTCAAATCAGTTTATGAAGTGTAAAATTGGGGGATTTTAGTAGTTAAATTGTACACGAATCAGTAACTATGGTTTATTAAAAAATTATTACTTTGAAAATTACACACACTTTATAGACCAATAAGATATATTATTAAAACAGCCACAAAGGCCAGTACAAACGCAATACGCGATTAAATTCAGCGAAACTTAGTTTCGACCTTTAAATTAATATCACCAGTCATTTGCTGAATTGTATAAATGCATGCACATAAACGCTGATGCCTTCGAACCATTTGTGTATCGTGAAGCAATCGAGTGATCAATGTTTAGTTTAGATATAGGGTACTAAGTAAAAATGGCAAATCGAATAATGAGTTTGTACATTTTCGTAGACTGAGGTGGCTATAGTATGCATAAGATGTACTCAAACACCACCTATCACGAGCTATAATAATAGTTGAAACAGGAGTAAGTTGTAATTATGTTATGGATGGACAAATAAAAACATGATCCTATTCGATTAAGTCACTTATTGTTCGACTGGGCTATGTCTGTAAGTCCAGACAACCACGCGATAACCGTGACCAGTAGTTGATTTCGTAGAGAGACATAAATCAGAATCGGTTAGAATGACCCAGATGTATTCTCTTTGTGTTGTCATATAGATCTTGAGTTCCAGTATTCCTTTACGAATATCACTAAATCCTATCTTTTTGAAATACGTTCTCAATAGGTAAAATAATATATTGTAATATCCCAATGTGATGAACTAGAAGACAATCAGTCGGTCATAATCAACGTGGTTTTAAAAGACAGAATGAAAATGTGTATGCATGATGGAGTACTGGAACTCGTGATATAGATTATGATAGACAGTGCGTGTATATGAGTCTCTGTGGTTGCTTCTAAAGGACGTTACATAACGTCGGCAACTACCGATCGTCGTTAGCGAAAGCAAATGAAACTAAAATTTACGTAAAATGAATAAATATTATGTAGTAGATGACTTACATTTGACATTTCTGGTTTATCATACTTATCAGGTTGTTTATCCAAACAGGCTAAAAGTGTAAATGCTGGAGCTTTGTAAACAAGTTCTTTATTACAAATAATTGACTTAAATCAATTTTATGATTGTGTGAATGTCCACCATTAATAACATAATCAGATGAATTATTGTCACTAAGAATAAAATAGAAAAACAAATCATAGATTATATATTTGTGAAATGTCCTTAAATTTTCTAATTTGATAATTAATTCAACTTAATTGACTAGTTTCAGTGTAGATTTTCGGAGGTTCAAGTGAGAAATTATGATGTACGGAGTCAACGGTATTGAAAATAAGTTAGTATACATAACTGATTTACCAAATACGATTATATCTACTCAACTATGGACCACCCTCATATTTAGGGACTGGTGATACTACATAGCTAGTAAAACGAATGTAAGTGGAATAGATTTCGAACCCTCAATAGTAACGGTTATTATTTATTTATTTATTTGAACACATAGATATTGGTACAAGAGGACACCGAATACATATGTGCCACACAAGTCATTTGATCTCTGTGTGGGCTGAGATACTGCCCGCGTGCCCAAACAGAAGCAGGTGGTTCTCCTGGGAGGCCACACCCGGAGCCTTCGACCTATAGGTCTGATCCACAAGTCAATGGAGCAACGTCAGGAGATGCAGTCCCATGGTAGCCGATGACCAATAATTAGTTCATACGCCATTTGTTCCTTCAGGATACTGGAGCCCATGTGACCATTGGTTTGGAATCAGAGTTTTCAACTCCCCGGTGTGGAGTCTGCGTGTCCACCAGTCCTGTTGAAGCTCCGGACATTCACTTTTCGTCCTCTCAATTTCGTAAGCAACACCCCCGTCACGAGAAGGCAGTGAGTAAGACTTCCCTGACAGAGGCTATATACGCGTGGCCATGTGAGAGTATTTCGAGAGGAAGAGCGGACTCTCCCCATTCTCGTCCATACCAGGGCATTTGGGGGCAATAGTAATGGTTAAAAAACTAATAGTTCAATTACTTAACAAGTATTTCCCTAATGATGTGGTAACTCACTGATAATATTAAATGAAGACTGCCCTATAGGGCAAATAGAGTAAAATTAGGATCGTGAATCACTGGATTTCCACTACAAAAATAAAAAAAGATTACACGTATCTACTGTTATACTTTGTTGAACATTAGAAGGGAACCGCAATATTTTAGTTTGTTAGAAAAAAACACAAGTAACAATGTCTAATGAATGTTGATAGTTTTTAGTTTAAAGTAGCAGCTAACAATCTTTAAACATCTATTTAATATAGCTAATTAGTCAAAAGAAATTGAGTTAATATTTTGGTGGAGTATATATGAGAAACAAGTGACATATTATTCGTCTTATTCATTTTTGAAATATGTTTAGTGCACTTTGATAAATATTTAAGTAAGGGAAATAATCTTATTTATAGGAGCTCATCTAAAGTTGGTTGGTAAGTAATGTTCTAATCCTGTTAGCACTATGGATTATATCATCAACTTAGTAGTTAGGCATGATGCAGAAAACTATTCAGTATGTTGTATTATATACAGAAAAATGTCCTTCGTAGTTTGGACGTATACTATGCATAACATTTCAGTGGATTCTAGACTAAGTACACATTTAGCTAATACTGGAATTGAGTAAGAAAATTAGAGTTAATCAACTTATGATATTAAGCTGTGGATTGAAGAATAATTGTATTGGAATGACCTCTATTGACATACTTGGAATCTATAGATCTTACGATTCAATAACTCAAGGAGTTATCAACATAAAGCTCATTAGGAAAAAGTGTTTTAATTCTCTACTTTGTCTTTCGAAAATACCGTAGTGTCCATTTTAAAAGGGATAAAATTTAACATTGTAATATTCTTAGATAAACTGTATCTACTTCAATAATCACTATTTTGTCATCATTATGTTAAACTGCTGTCTTCTATGTTTTCACAAAACTAGCACATTTGAAATATTTCTTGATATCTCATTTAACAAAGTGTTCCAATTATGAATAGGTAAAAATTATTTAATGAGTATCAACTATACATCAATTTGATAAATTTATCATGATTTTCAACTGAATATTCACATATCAAATTGGTTATTGACCTGTAATTCATTTAAAGCGATATATATATATATATATATATATATATATATATATATATATATAAAAATTATCCTTACTTATTTTGATTGAATGATCGTTTAGTAGCCCATGACATAATCATTTCACGATGTTGTATACATAATTTTGTTACAGGATCTGAACTATCTTCATTCAAAATATGTTCACTTCTGTGACATCCCTGTATATAGAATTTTAAAATTATAAATTTTCAGAGTGTAATGAGAACTGTATTAAAACTAATCCTATGTATATTTTTGCTAAAGATTAGAATAGTTACGTGTCTAAACTTCATTAGCCTCATCTAAGATTTTCACGTGAGGTAGGATAAATAATCCATTTTCACTTTATTTTAAAGAGAGAAGGATTTATAATTTTCTCTCAGCATTCAGTATACCTTTTAGCTTTCTACAATTAATTAGTGTATACAAGTTAAGTGATTTAAGGATCATGTTCTATGCTTCAGTTCATTTCAGTAAATAATGTACGTCCCTTAATGTATACACTCTACCACTAATGCATAGTAAAAAGACAGGGAGTGTAATGGGAAGTTAGACTGTCAGACAGCGAATAAATATGTAAACAAGCAATATATATGTATATAATACTGGAATAATCTAGATCAAGGTATACAGGCAGTGCCCTTGACTAAGTGAATATTTCAATCACTCAAGATATTCCACCCACACATCATACAGCTACCATATGGTCTTGTGACAATATGTGGCCTTTTCAAGCTGAGATCATGATATGCATGAACTAATCAATTTTGTTGCCATCCAACTAAGGTGAGGATAAGAGCGTATCTTACCAATAACATTAGTTGAGGATATTTCAATATCCTATATTGACTGAAGTTACAAATTTGGGTCAGTTGATTTTAACACAGTAACTCAATCTTATAATGCTCATTGATTGACCTAAATACATTAGGTTCAATCCTATTTAAAGTATTGGAAAGACGATTCCCTTTCAGCTTATTTTAATCCATGATAAAAATTATACTGAAATAAAAATAAGGAGAATTTAGCGAAGTATATTTTCTTTTCGACGAAACCATCTACTTAACTTGTACATTCGCATACAAAGTTGTTGTTAAATATATGTCCATAGAAACATAGAAAAGATTGCTTCATTGTCGATAGTAACTTGACACCAAGACAACGTCCTGAAAAAGCACCAACAGTTCAAAAGAAATCTTCTTATGAATATCGAATTTAAAGGAGATACAGCTGCCTTAATTTCAAAATCTCTAAAAAAAGCCCATTCAGCTCAGATTTGTATTATCTTTTCAAGCCGGTCTATCATTCACGGATGTGTCAAGGATAAATTACCGCTATGGGTCACATTGATGTGCTTCCATAAATTTACATGCTCCTGCTGGGCAGGTTACAACGGCCTCACAGAGTGATCGCTTCCCAAATGCATCTCAGAACGTTATTCGGTGTGGCTTTTGAAAAGAGAATGTAAACATGAGCATTTCACGTATTAATTTTCATTTAATACTCTGTCGATTGTAACACAGTAAGTTTGAAATTATCACTGTAGAGCGTGGACGAACGATTTGTCAAAGACAATTGTTCACTCTAATACTCTTTATTATTTTTAGAATAAACGGCTTGAAGATTGTTCACTTTTCATCATTTCATTATTTATTTTAATACATAAATATTGGTACAAGGAGGCACCAAAGACATATGCGCCATACAAATATCATTCGACATGTGTGAGGGCTGTAATACTGCACGGGTGCCCTGACCGAGGCAGGTGGTTTTCTTAGGGAGCCACACCCCGAGCCTTCGACCCAAAGGTCCGATCCACAAGGCAGTGGAGCATCGTAAGGAGATGCAGTCCCATGGAAGCCGGTGACCAACAATTGGTTCATACGCCATTTGTTCCTTCAGGATACTGGAGCCCATGAGCACCATTGGTTTGGAATCCGGTTAAAGCGCCGGACATTCGCTTTTCGTCCTCTCATTTTCGTAAAATCACCCTCGCCACGAGAAGGCAGTGAGTAGGACTTCCCTAGCAGAGGCTATATACACGTGGCCATGTGAGAGCATTTCGAGAGGGAGAGCGGACTCTCCCCACTCTCGGCCGTACCAGGGCAAACTGATATTCAAAATTAAATCAGCCAAGTAGTCAGTTATCTTCAAAAAGAAGAACACAGTACAAATATGTATCCGTCCAAGTTGCTTTATCTCATGCCATTTTTTTGTCATAAGTTCATATTGCTAAATTGATCAACGTTATTAAAATACGACAAATTTCTAAGAACTATATTTTGATTTTGTAGTTTATATCATGAACTGGTTTTGGTTAGACAACTGTTCGAAATCAACGAGCACTGGACAGTGTTTTGTCCTGATATACGACTTCTTACTCATGAGTATTCACATTCACATCATGGATCAAACCCAAAACCTTCAGATCTCATTGTCAGCACTTAACCTTAGAACACTGTGCAAGCATCTAATGTTTGACATGTCTGTCTTCAACCAAAACCACGATAATGTCCAACTAGCTGCTTTACAACTAAATTTGTTGAACTCTGCTGATTACGACTTTTAATTATAAAACGAACCGATCTCCACAAACCCCTTGTACTCATTGTTTACTTGTTCAATAATTATATTTTAATACAGTTTTTCATGTTGTTGATGAGAAAAATTCTACACACAATTAGTTTAATTCAATGTGTCAATAAACTAAATATTATTCTATAAATATGCATTGTGTTCTGTTTTTTGGGGTTTTAAACTCACATTTTGAGTTGGGAATAAATTGAATCTTGATAAGCCCAATCCACAACATGGATAGATGAAATCAGGTTTATCATGCCTGAAAAAAAGAATTATATATAAGCTCAAAATGACTTTAAAATTCTAGTCAGTGAACTTTAGCAAATATTTATATTTTGATTAAAGTCGTATCAAGCTAAATCTTTTAAGAAAATAATTTATTAGCTAGTTGATTTGTGAATATTGGTCCACTTATAAGATACGTTTACACCACAAATCGACTTCATTTGAGAAGTCATTTATAATTAGAAAGCACTAGGCAGTTTTTTGTTCTAATATAGAGCTCATAATTTGTATAAACATACAACTTATAGATGAAATTGAAGGGTAAGAACTTCATGTCCGACAGTGAGCAAGATACTATTGTATCAGTGAATAAGAATCTATCTGTTAATTGATATGACGGGATTGAAAAAGTAAAAATTGCATTCTTTTACTCATTGTGATTTTGTTCGACATCACTTCCGTATTTTTAATTCAATGTGATAACTACTAAGTGTAGTATTTGTGTTTGTTTTCCAGTGTGATATTTTATTCGGCATGACATTAACTTATTTGAGTGTCATGTTTATTCAAGATACGATATTCTAGTATTAAATTAGCATAAATTATCTTCAGCATGACACGCAGCATCTGATTTGTTATAAATCTGGGTATTTTTTGTACATGGGATTTCATCCTAATTAATAATCAAAATGAACGTACAACCAATATATGATGAACGTAATTTTGACCAGGGTAGTTGTGTTTTGTGATTAGTAAGTCTTCATTTGTACCAGTCTTGGTGTCCTCACTTCGCATCGTAGGAATTACGGTGGTTCCTCGTTTTACAAGCATAAGTAATAAGCGATCCCAACATAGCAATTAGTGACGACCAGATATAAAATTAACATTTTTAGGTGATAAGTCTTTTAACTGAACGTTTATACACTGATTTCGTAATCAATTCCTTGTCTTCAAAGGTGTTTCACACTTGAACCATGAGTAAGAAAACAGAAGACACAAATTATAGAATAGGCTGTTTTGTAAACGTTAGATTATAAACAAGTTCGATGGGAAGTCCTGATGGGTGGCCTATGCTCCTCCATGAGGGTAACAGGTGTAAGTAAGTTTAGTGAACCAAAACTTTGTATTCACTACTATGCCGCTGTGTTTACTGATATTCTAAAGATATCATGATGTCTTTGGAGGGTTAAGTAAAATGAACACTATTATATTTGAATTACATTGAGGACTGATAACATTGAACAGCATCAGTATTATTTCTTTAAGTAGAAACAATTGATGTACGCTTACAATCAACTCAATAATTAGAAATCAAATTTCTGTAGTAGATATTTTAGCCCATTTGAAAAGTGTTTAAAAATCAACACTCAATTTATGACTAAAATTATAATTTATCATTTGTACAAATATTACTAACCTTGATAAGCCAGTATTAGTAATATTTGATTGTGAATGTTTTTTGACAATAATTCATGAGATTTAGCATTTACACAATGAAATTCGATATTTTCTGGTTTTTTAAATGTAGATGTAAATCGATTATTGCTCGAAATATCATCATATTCATCATCAAGTTGACAGTTATCAAGACTAGTTGATAGCTCGTTTTTCATCGAAACAGTATTATTAACTATATGACTTGATTGAACAGGTACGGGAGTCATCGTATGATAGAAACAACCATCTCCTAATTCAACTATAGGAAATTGTTTGCCACAACGTTTGCATAACTAGACATTTAAAATAAATACAAATGAAATAATTTATCAATAGTAACATGATTCAAGGAAGCACGAATGTACATGAGGTTTGGACTTAAGCAAACTGTTAATAGGATAATATGAATTGGAAAAACTCATTTTCTTTTACCGAGAATGGAAATATACGGAATAATGTAGATAATTGCAATATACAGATAAATCATTTTAATTCCGAAGAATTTACTAGAATATGTGAAGGTATTTAACTAAAGATAAATTAATATAAATAAACACAGAGAAGTAGGTGTAAAGTATTATTCAATTATTTCAATTAAAACAAAAGTTCAACTCTGCTTGTAGCTCTTCTGGCGCTACTGCTGGTCATAAGCTCGGGTAAAGAAGGAAAGTTGGGCGTGTGGTCAACAACCCATCCCGTAGAAAACAACCTTGCTAAAAAAACACTAACCAGAATAAACAATTTAAACTAATTGAACTCTGCCTTTGATTTGAATGATCTTCATTCAGAAGAATTATGACGCCTCATGATGAAAGCCCAGGTTCTCCAAAAGTCATGAGGCCGATGCCCCTTCTAACAACCAGAGAAAACATTATTATAGGTGCATACAATGTTCGGACAATGTGAGAGACCAGGAAGACCAAACAAATAGCTGAGAAAATACGGAGATACAACTTGGTGTAGCTCGGAATAAGTGAAACACATTAGAATCAAGTTGGACAGAAAAAGATAGATTCGGGAGAGATGCTACTGTACTCTGGTCACGAGGAATAAAATGCTCCACACATTCAGGGAGTTTCTCTGATGCTGTTCAAAGAAGCACGTAATGCACTTATAGGATGGGGATCTCATGGATCCAGGATCATCAAAGCATCCTTTAAGACAAAAAAGGAAGGAGTCACGATGGAATTTATCAAATGTTATACAACAGCCAATGATAGCGACGACGACAATAAAGATCAGTTCTATGAGTGGCTGCAGTCAATCATAGCGAAGTGCCTAAGAAAGAACATGGCCATCCTGATGGGAAATCTAAACACCAGAGTCGGAATGGACAACACCCGATATGAGGATATCATGGGATGAAATGGACTGGGAGAGAGAAAGGAAAATAGGGAGAAATTCGTAGATCTATGTGCATTCAACAAATTGGTTATAGGTGGTACAATATTCCCACACAAACGCATACACAAAGCTACATGGATATCACCGGACCACGCCACAGATAACAAGATTGGTCATTTTTGTATCAATAAAATTTCAGAAGGACAGTGAGAGATGCGAGAACCAGGAGAGGAGGTGACAGAGCTTCAGACCACCACCTAATTGTGGCCAAGATGAAACTGAAGCTAAAGAAACACTGGACAACTGGGGGGGGGACAGTATTATAAAGGTTCAATACAGCCTTCATTCGAGATACTAACAAGCTCGACGAATTCAAGACAACTCTCAACAACAGGTTTCAAGCCTTACAAGGTCCACTCAAAGAAGAAGAAACCACTATGGAAGGCAACTAGGAAGGGATCAAAGAAACACTAACTTCAACATGTCAGGAGGTTCTGGACCACAACAAGCATCATCATACGCAATGGGTCTCTATGGAAACCCTGAACCAGTAATCAAGAAAACAACAGTCAATATCAAAGTCAGAATCTTCATTACGAACGTAGAGATAGTTCTACTGTACGGAGTTGAAACTTGGAGAACTACCACAACCATTATCAAAAATGCACAAGTATTTATAGACAATTGTCTACGTAAGATACTGAATGTCTGTTGGCCGGATACCATCTGCAACAACCTACTGTATGAGAGAACAAACTAGCTACCGGCTGAACAGGAAATTAGGAAAAGACGTTGGATGTAGTTATGACACACATTGTGGAAATCATCAGATTGCACCACTGCCTTCTCGTGGCGGGGGTGTTGTTTACGAAATTGAGAGGACGAAAAGCGAATGTCCGGCGCTTTAATCGGATCCCAAACCAATGGTGCACATGGGCTCCAGTATCCTGAAGGAACAAATGGCGTATAAACCAATTGTTGGTCACCGGCTTCCATGGGACTGCATCTCCTTACGATGCTCCACTGCCTTGTGGATCGGACCTTTGGGTCGAAGGCTCGGGGTGTGGCTCCCTAAGAAAATCAATAGCTTCGGTTTGGGCACCTGTGCAGTATCACAGCCCGCACACAAATAGAATGATTTATATGGCGCATACCTACTTGGTGCCCCTTTGTGCCAACGTTTATGTGTTTTAATAATAACAAGGCAAGCGCCACACACTGCGCCGAAAATTGGAAACAGACATGAAAAAGAATAGCAACTGGAAAGGATTGCTCGGGGAAGAGTTCGATGGGAATTCCTGATGAGTGGCCTATGCTCCTCCATGAGGGGTAACAGGCGTAAGTAAGTAAGTGAAACAAAAGTTCGATACCATTAGACTACTCCAATCAACTTCGAAACTGAGGTCTTTGCCAAGTGTTATATTAGCGCTGAGATTATTCCGGTTTAGTAGGTAAGCATTAATTGGTGAAGTTTATTGGGTTTTTTTGTCAGAACTTTTAAAATCTACTGTCCATGGTAACCCGCAACAGATTACACATATCCCAATTACCCTTGCCATCGATTCAGTTCTAAGTCTTTACTATCTGGTCGAAATTTTTGCAGATAATTCTGCTTCTAACTATTAAAATCCATCCTCAATCGACTGGTTGCAGCATGTGAACAATATTTCAAAGATAAGTGAAATCAAATGCTGTTAGTCATCTTAAGTCTGTCAAAGTCTGCAGCCAATAGACTGGTTGAAAAACAATATTTATTCTTTAGTAATTCAGCAAGTTGATGCATACTGCTTGTGTTGAATTTATCCCTGATGTACGTAGAATGTTATATATATAATGTAGTTGATATATTTGTGGTGTGCCTTAAATTTGAGAACAGCTTTCGTACCTACCTTAAATTGGATGAAACTGTTGAACATTAAACAACTGTTTCATTCTTGTTCTGAATCCCGAAACAGTTTCTATTTTTACCTAAATTTAGGATAGTATTCAAAAGCTCCAAGTTTTTTTTAACAAATGCATGTATCTAAATAAGATTGGCTTCAAATTCCATGATATAGTTCTAGCTCCAGTCATTCTACGATGCCCATAGATCATTTTTCACCATCATTGATAATAATTGTTGTCTCACTACTGGCATAGCTAAACTAAATTAGTCACAACTTCACATTGGAACAACGGGATCCAGCACAATCTAGTCACGTGTAAGTACATACTTCATTTTCGGTCGGAAATGAGAATCGCCGGATTTTGATTAAATGGTTTATGTATCATAATCTCGTAGAGACCTGGAGCTTCTATACAGGATATCAACTGAGATTATGGCTACACACTGCATAAGAATCTTGTATCAGATCAAAACAGACATCCATAACACCCTCACTCTCCAGGTGATGAAAAACCATAACAATACCATCTTTAGAGAATTTTGCAGTGTAAACTGCTAATCTACATTTTGTATCGAGAAATAGTCTGCAAAATATCTTTCTTTTTAATCTATCAGCTAATTAAAATGTTTACTAAAAACTGAACTGACCCATAATATTTATTATATTTTGGAAACATAAAATCTAACTGCATAGAAGTAATTAACTTATTGGCTAACTTGGAGATTTATTGTAGCCCACAGTTTCCAAAATACATCGCGCCAATTTCCTGATTCCATAAACCATTGAATTAAAAGTTCTGTACATGAAAAACTTGTTAGTTTTTGACTAACTGGCATGGTTATTTGTCCATTAATATTTGATGTGACTATTGATCGACAATGTAAATTCGAGAATGTAATTGACGATGTAGGTGTATGTGAATGTTTCGAATAATCATTAGCCTCAATACATTGATGAGATGGTTCATCTGTTGAAATTAATTCTTTTCCACTTGGTTCCATAGGGTCATGAACAGGTATCACATCGCCACGTCGACTAATTATGAAGCGATTTGGAAGACAAGGTACAATAACTGAAATGTTTCTCGTCAGTACTTTACCACATTTTTGACATCTTCAAATATATTTTGATTTGATTAAAATAAATCGATGCAAAATAAATTAGTAGAATTATATATGTTAGTTAACCATAATAGATAAACATTTTACTTGTATACGAATTTTCAATGTTAAGAATTCCATCTCTTGTGACCCATAAAACCTGTAGGTTTCTAGATACATATACACGAAAGCAAGTTTACATAACGTTTTGTTACAAATTATGTCCAATGAGCATGTAAGAATGTTGAAAAAAGAGAATCAGATAAGGTAACTGCGAAAACACGCTAAAACAATACTCAATAGACAATAATTTGGCCATAATCATACACTAGGACCTAAAACACAGGTGGATCTTTATTAAGGTTTATCACTTACAATAAAAAAATACGTGAAATTTTCTAAAGATATTAAGGTGACGATTCAGTTACGGCAAAAATGTTCTGGAAGTTTTACCAATACATTTTTTTTACTCTTTAGATAAATCTGTACTTTGGTAAGGAGTGGAATTACCATATTAGAATTAATTGAAGAACAGTATACCTTACTTTCTTCTAATTGGTAAACCGCGAATGCAATTTTAGGAGTGACCACAGCAACATTGGCATAATTTTTAAATATTTTTGATGTTGTATCCCAAAATCATGTTGCGTAAGTAAAATAACGGTGAGAAAAAGTGCCCTTACTTATTATCTCGTTAATACACAAACCTGGATATAGATAAATAAAACGCAAACAATGCATCTGACTTGAATATTGAAGCAAATAACCAAAAAGTATGGAGCAATAAAGTTTCCTAATTTTGAAAGACGATACATACTCATTGTGAGAAAAACTAACGAATGTTGATTTAACGGTTCTAAGGAAGTGTAGACCTATTTAATAACCCTAATGAGGATAAAAATCAGCCGCTCCAAATACTTTACATCTTGAAAGCTCCAACAGAACTATTAACATTTATATTTACCCTGAAACTATACCACTTTAGTTACTTTGCCTGTACCGCTTAAATATCACCATATAAATCAAGAAAAACAATATACATGAGCCACAGTTAACTTACCGAAACAGATACGCTGCATTGTTAGGACAGTATGAAGAAGTATATTCAGGATCAAACAAATGCTCAATTTTCTTGAAAAAGATTTTGCTGTAATGGTATATTTTGCCCCAAGTTGGGAATGGAACTACCTTTTTATTTTGTCTTTCTTATCCTTGATCTTATCCAGTTCCTCCAATTTCAACCCGAGGGCGATGCTAGAATACATTTTAAATAATTACTATTCCTACTACCGTTCAACTAAGCTATCGCCCAAACAATCTAAAGAGAAAGGGCTTGCTATAATGTCTCCAGCATGTTTGCAGAAATATTCTAAACATTCAGAAGTCTTTACATTATTTGTTCGAACCTTTCTGTTTAACCTACCAGATGTTCCATTTTAAGAAAGTTCGATGAAACTAATAATGCAAGGACATTCGAAGTTGACAAAACGCATTCTTTATACGCATCAGGATCAATGTGTTTTCTAGCATAAAGTAGTAGCCACTCGAATATTTTTAGGTCACAGTGAACAAGTATTTCTACTTCGCTGATAAACTGACCATCCTTAATCAAAAAGTCTTTGAAGTACGGCATCTCAATCATAAGAACCTCCAGCTCACATCTGAAATCTTTTTCAACTATACAGTTTCATTTTAGGACAACGAAGTTCAGATCTCATACTGTAAAATGAAAGGTTACCTCCTTTAGCCTGATCACAAACTTTGACTGTTACTATTACTGGTTCATTGATAATGCCATTAACCGGGCACATTTGTATTTAATGGATGGAACCAAATGTCTGAAGTACTTGTCTGTCTTAGCCGTTTGCGTCTAATCAGGTGGTAATCTGTTTACAAGGGGAGCATGCAGAGTAGCGTGATGGGGGGTGGAACAGAGAAGAAAGAAAGAAAAATTAAAACTCGACGACCCAGCAAGCTCACTTCATATCTAAAACACCAATATTTTAAGGTTACGGTTAATTTTACATTCTCTCAGGCTATGTAATGCACTAGAGGGGTCCCCCAGGGCTCAGAACTAAAAACTCCTCACTTCTTAATGTATATAAATGACCTTCCACAACAGGTATCGTCAGACTTATTACGCTGTGCTATTCCTCTTGTATGTAAATGACCTTCCTTGTCTCCTATCATCATCGGTCTTGCTATATGCTGACGATTTCAAGATATGGAGAACGATACGATGTAAGAGTGATAGCTTAGAACTTCAAAATGACCTGAAGAAGTTATCTGAATGGTCTCAAACCTGGCAGTTGCCGATTAATACTTCCAAGTGTGTTATGATGCATATCGGTCATCAAGGTACAGATACATACACGATGAATAACACTGAGCTACCTATCGTCCAGATATATAATGACTTAGTTATCGTTAGCCAAGACTTAAAGACTACTGCACACTGCCGTGCAATAGCTGCCAAAGGTTTTAGAACCTTATGGTCAATACGTAGGGCTTTTAGTCGTGTCGACGCCAAGACGTACGTCCTAAACTTGAGTACTGCAGACAAGCGGCTAGCCCTGCTTAAAAAAAGACAGTGAGCTTCTGAAAAAGGTTCAGAGAACGGCGACTGAGCTGATTCCCGGAATAGCGAAGCTTCCGTATGAAGTTCGACTGGCCAAACTGAACCTTTCCCCGTTGTCATATCGCAGAACTAGAGGCGACTTGATTACAGTCTACAAATTGCTTAGTGATAAATTTGCACCTAATATGCCCTCATTTTTCTTGTCTTCCAAAACAAAGAATTTACGAGGACACTCCAAAAAAGTTCACAAGCCGAGAACAAATTACTTGTCAGCTGACTATCAACTTCCCACCGAATCATCAACGAGTGGAATTCACTACCTCAACACGTGGTTGAGGCTCCATCCGTCGACTCATTCAAAAGAAAGTTGGGTCAACTGAGAGACCACCATTGTCAGGAATAACACAGGCCATCAAGTCTCCTGTCCTTCCCAAACTGAAACTGATTTGAACATCTATCTGCAGGACTATCACAGAACATTCCGCTCCTGTTCCCGACAAACTGAAATTAAAGCTAAACCTTGCACTGACAACATTGTAGCGCATTTTTGGCCAGTTTGACGGAAGAACTTTCCACATAATCTTCGACAGTTTTATTCGTCCCCATTTAGGGTACGGAAACATAGTATTTCCTCTCTCACTCCAAAACGATAAGGACGCTCTGGAACGTATCCAACGGCGAGCCACGAAATCAGTTCGGGGACTCAAACTCAAGCCTAATGAAGAGCACCTCCAATCGCTTAAACTTTGCCCATTAGAGTACAGGTGTCTTAAAGGTGACTTTCTAATGGCTTAAAATGTATCATTAACAATTCTGAACACCCCTTAAACATTTACTTAAGCTTAGTATCAACACAAACCTAAGGGATAACACCCAGAAACTGGAGACACAACACAGTAGGACGGACTTCTACTCTTTAACATTTGTCAAATGCTGGAATTCGCTGCCGTCTGAGCTAGTCCAAGCGACTTCCCAGGAGTCATTTAAGAGGAAACTTAACCTGTTCTTAAGGACTAAGGATAACATCTTATTATGATTTACCAATTTCTTTTTTCCCTCTATTATCGTTAATATACCTAGGTTCTTGTCTTAAGGTATTGGTGATCCGCATAAATATATCGCGGGATTGTTCGGGCGTCGCCAATAACAACGATGGTCTGGTATTCACTTTCCAATTTAACATCTCGGTTTCAAACTACAAAGGGCAGGATGTTTGTTGATCTGTGTTAGTTCTGGTACTGATGTTCTTACAGATTATCCAACTTTCTTTTGAAAGAGTCGATAGATGGAGCTTCAATCCCACCACGGTGCTTGGTACCTGCGTGGTTGCGCCACAGGATTGAGCTGTATTATTCAGACTGTAGCGTTAAAGCCTGTACGGTGTCTGGTTCCTCTGCTAAACGGGGTTGGGCTGTACTGTTTGGGTTTTTACGTGAAAGCCTGGATGGTGTCTGGTTCTTCTGAAAACCAATGTAAAATTACCCTGGCCCACAAGGATATATTATATAACTGTGAACATTCCGCTACCGCGCTCGTTTCAAAAATGGCAGTGATTTTTGTACTTGTTGTGATTATACTTGCTTTGGGTACTTATTGAACTAAAAAGCATTCTTGGTCTACTTTATCTAAAAGTACTTTGGTTAAAGTTTGAAATTTTTTGCTAAGTTTTGTCCTGAGTACCTTTTTTACTTCTTGACTAACACTTGTGTTCACATTGTGATCATTTTGTGTTTTTAAGCCTTTTAAATCGAATTACAATGGTTGGTGAGACTCACAAATGTGGGCAACCAAATTTTTTGTTCCCCGTTGAGGAAGGAATGCAATGTGACGATTGTAAAAAGTTGTACCACAAAATGTGTACACGACTAGGTCCGACGGCTTACAAAAGATACTCGAAGCCTAACTGGCATTGGCCTTGTATGTTCTGCTGTGCGGATAAAAAGGTACTAATACAGGAGGCTATGGGCTTATTGGCTTTGGCCTGCAAGAAAAACGATGGCGGAAGCACTGATAACAGGAGCACTGACGATGAAGAAAGTGTCAGTGTAGTAAGTGCTGTTACTGGACCCGTTAAACACCTGACTGCGGTTGACGAGAACGTGAAATCTCCGTTGACATTAACGAGGAATGAAGTGTCGTTTGATATTGACATCGGCAGTCATACAGCTATAATCGAAATAGAAGATCCGGGTAAAACTTTCACCGTTCCACATAGTCCAGGTGTGGCTGATCTGAGTGGCGACAAATGGACTTCGGTAAGAAGAAAAAAAATAAGAAGAAAAAGGCTGCAGGCAAAACGTAGCTAGTCAGCAAGACATTGGAAGGGATGTTATCAGAAGAAAAATCCTCACCGCGTGACAAGACAGATCTCTCTGATAGATCAGTCATTTTTCAGGCATTTAACAAGTACAAAAGAATCATAAGTTCATTCATACACCACATTCACCCTAAAATTTATTCTTTTTGCCACTATAAGAGTTGAAATGAGATATAATGGCGTGCCTACATAAAATATACGTGGGTGTGTATAATCATGGTCTACTATGATATTAGTACTGCGCTAATAATAGATCTAATCCTGAAATTGTAGATTTGTCATGATATAGCTGCCTAATCTATAAGATCTTACGTGGAAGTCACACCATCGACTACACCAGCTCACTATATTTTGACAATTACCAGTACATGATGGAAAACAAGGTTAGGCTAGAGGAAGAAGAATATAATCAATATGAATAGAAGATATAAGGTAACATTCAGCAGAGATCACGCCTGCATGGCCGAGCCATGCCATCGGATCAACTCCAATTCATTCAGTCCATTCTTCCCGCCTTCTCCATCGTTAGGTATTTCTCTGCGTTAAATATTGAATATCTATTTCCGAGTAGTCTCGTTTTCAGCTTTGAGGATTGTGTGGTTATGGTCCAATGCCACTAAAGATGTTTTCAGGCGATTAAAATGAAGTCTTCAGTGATAATCACACTTTTATGCACAACGAACTCACTGAACGGACAAAAAGTGTTTGGATCTGATACAACTTCAAAGTTGGGCAGATGATAACGGACTTACCTTCAACACTTCAAAGTGTAAAGTAGTCCATCTGCAACATGTTGTGTACTACAGATACAACTTAGACGACTCATCTCTAGAAGCATCCCGAGTCGAAAAAGATTTAGGAGTCTTGATATGCTATTGTTTGAAGTCTTACGCTAACTGTGACAAAAATGCCTTTCTTGTCTTCCAAAACAGAGAATTTACGAGGACACTCCAAAAAAGTTCACAAGCCGAGAACAAATTACTTGTCAGCTGACTATCGACTTTCCCACCGAATCATCAACGAGTGGAATTCATTACCTCACCAAGTGGTTGAGGCTGAGAGACCACCATTTTCAGGACTAACACAGGCCATCAGGCCTTCTGTCCATCCAAAACTGAAACTGATTTGAACCTCTATCTCCAGGACTACCACAGAGCATTCCGCTCCTGTTCCCGACATATATATATTCAATATCACCAAATACCCGAAACCGTACCGATATAATAATAAACGAGTTCAAATGAGATAGTTGGTTAGCATAAACTCGACTCAAAGATATTGGTTCCTCACATTTTTGTTGCGTCAGCAACTATTCAAATCATTCATATATCCAAGGCCACTGCAACTTTAGGAGGTACATTTTGTCTCGGCTGACTATTAGCCCTCTCTTTTGTGGTAATAAGCCCTAATGTTCATGTGAAATTTTTACCAGATTTCGCGATTTCATTTTTTACTTTACTACGTGGTTTTTTTACATTTGCATCATGTGTAAACCAGGTTGAAAAATAACTTTCAGGTATCTATGTAAACAGACTACCCAAGCTGGTGGGAAAGGGGGATTAGTGTGGGTGCACAAAAAATTAAAGGATTTATATGACTTTCCTCTCCTGTTTTCTCTTCCGCCTCATTTTCCGTCGATTTTAAGCATATATCCCCTTGATTAAAAAATGCGGATCACTATATATTTACTAATTAGTAAATGTACACGAATAATAATATTCGTATATAAATTGGAGTTCCACTTCATGGCTTCCTATAATGCTACTAATAAAATCAGATGTGCATTACCTGTCATACAAAAGAAACTACTTTAGTGTATCAAGGTGTCATAAATGTTATACACAGACTATTAATAGCAGCCAAAATCTACCTGGTGTATGTATTTCACGAAAAAAGCGAGTGAAGTCTTTAAAACTCAATCATCAGAATTCGGTATTTATCTAAAATGAACAAACTAGAAATAATTAAGGCTTGCATTGTTTTTCCAGAGCATTCTATGCATGAATGGGTTAACTGCTTACCATTCAATGTAGTCTAATCCAATCACTCAATTAAATACAGATAGTGCAGACAGTATATATTGGTTTAGTTACCATATTTTGAATTGAAGCTCCTCTCAGAAAATATCATAAAGTAACCTACGGATTTCTCTAGTTTGCGTTTTAAGTTTATGTATTCTCTTGCAAAGCTGCTATTTTATTGCAAATAAAGTTCGATTTCCAACTTCAATTCTTTTTGTTGATTCAAGGAAATACAATCTAATAACCTTTAGAAACAAGGAATCGATTACCACCGTCAGTACTCTTAATAAACAAGAAAAACGTAACTTAATAAAAGCCGGTTTACTGCTTGTTACTATCACCGCATATATAGTCTCTAACTGGTTTAGGAAACAATTCGTCATAAACTACATTATCGACTATATGATCTGGGGTATTTTCCTCATTAATTTCGATGCTCCAAAATCATAAACAAATGTCACAAGTTTACAAAAAGACCCGTAAGGCTTTGACCTTTCAATGTATTATCGAGATTCGACAACTGTCATTCGATTTTTAGATGAAATTCAATATAAAACTTTTTCGCTTTTATTTGGGTTGTGCTATCATAGTTAGGTCTTAACTTTGATAGTGATCAAATATGAGAAGTTGTCATCTCACTTTGCATTTCAGTCAGTCCTTATTTTACCTAAAACAAGTTGAATGTTTCTATCGGATGTTTGTACTAGTGAAGTTGAAAACATTGGTAGCTTAGAATTTATTGCAGCTGAAACTATAGGGGTCAAATACACTGAACTGGTAGTCGGAAATAGAGAATTACCAGTTAGGTTTATATTTGAATAGCTGAAGGTCAATGAATCCTGTTGGATAACTGCTACTTTCATATTAGCCAATGTATATGAGAAATTAGTCTTTCACCATTTGGCAGTCGTTTAAGTCGTTATTAGGGAAAAAAACATCCAGGAACTTTTGCGATTTCTTCGCTGAATGCCAAGGTCCCATCATTCTCGTCCTCCGCGTATTAGTTTATGGCGCTTAATGTTCTAATCTCTGTAGCTTCGTAGGAAAATTCTACCAAGTAGTAAGTTAATTATACTAGGGTTTTTTTCGAGAACACTTCAGTGACCTGAATGATTTATCCGTTGGGCAATTTTTCAGTAATTGATTTTGTAGAATTCCATACATCATCCATTTACTAGGCACCATCTGTAAATCCTCGTTTTTATATCAATGAAGCAGAATCTTGTAGATTCCTTGGAAAATAAGATATTTATCAACTTTTTGACATTAGTCACGGTATGGTAGGTTACTACTCAATCTTACTTAACATTGCGACTCCAACCTCGTCATCTTCAATAAGAATGAACATGCACTTGGACAGAATAGATGACGAAGGAGGCTATGTGGTTGTGGCTTGTTGTTGTTCTTTCATAGAGTTTCTATGTTCATCAGCTTCTTTGCCTTCAAAACGAAGGTAAAGTGAAAGCTCCCAAAATACAACTGAAATGAGTTTTCTCTATTATATTTCGGAACTTCATTAGGAAGCCTATATTCATTAATATGGGGGGCATGCTTACTATTTCACAAACTTGGAAGTAGATGAGAGTATTAATGAAGTTAATATTCGGGTACTTAAGTAGTGTGCAATCCGACTGCATTCTTTTCACATCAATTCCAGCTGGTGTACCAATGTAGCCTTTATTTTTTATCTTGAAATTGATTACGCTGAAGAATTGCTTGGTATTTGTTTGAGTTATCTAAAAACGGAAGACTATCCCCTTACTTTGATAAATAATTGTGTATTTTATGTAATATCAAAAACTAGTTTTTCATCCAGTTTTACACGATCTAGAAATTCGAAAGTTCTGTCTGATGTGAGAACCATCCATAGATTCGTATTCTGATAGTCCTTTAAGCATACATAGCCAGTTCTTATTTATTAACAGTAACTTTCTTTCATACCTAGTATCGATTGCACAATCCCCCCTAACTTCCATACAAAAAAGATCATAAACTTTAGTGTAGCACTAAATACTTAGCCCTAAACTTTTTTATTCAAGTTTATGCAGCAGATTGGCAAACGTTTATAACTTTATAAATGGGCACATATTTGCTTTTATAGCTGATTATAAGGCCAGCTGTATGGTCAGCCGATTTTGTCATCTAACGTTGGGATATTTCAATGTCTCATCTAAGTCTTTTTATGCAGTATTTCTACTTTCTTGTCAGGCTAAAAGATGGTACTTCATAATCACCCCCACTGTTAATCTTCCGTAATGCATGGGTTCTCATCTCAATGCTTCCCGATAAATCTAGAAAGCTTTATTCCTATGTTGAATTGTCGTAGTTGTTTTTCGGCAGGTCAGCAAGGTAGGAGGCTTCGCCAATTTTTTGGGGTGAGGTCCTTCGTAAATATTGTAGAAAGGTTCTGAATAGCACATGGGCTATTCACTCCAGTGTTTTTTTTTAAAGAAAAACAGTATATCTGATAGTTCAAAGTAATTATTCCTTTTAGTAAGTTTGAACGAAATATATCAGAACTGTGTGGCATATTAGCCTAATACTTTTCAAATAATCCGATTACGTATACACTTGTTAGAAGCATTTATATATAAATGCAAAGGTCGACTAGACAAATGGAGAGTGAAAGCAAACAAAAATAATAAGAAAATGGTGTGAAGCTCACCACGTTGGATAATAAACTAATACTACCAGGTTATATTTGAGGTAAAAACAAACTGTAGTGTTTACCAAGTAGATATGGTTTGCTCGATTTAACACAAAATGCATTTTATAGTGATGATAATAATAATAACTGGAGATTGGGAGTCAAGAACAGATGTGAAATCTCACGAAATTTTCTTCATAATGATGTATTACTTTTTGATACTTGATTTGAAAACGTGTAATTCTATCAACCCTTATTTCTCTTCAGCAAATAGTATTTGAACTTAACCGTGGTATGTCAAGTCTTGATATGTAAGTCAGTCTCTTCAGAATTACTTTTATTACATTCAAGCCCAGCAGATTTGTTTAAAAAGTTGGTTAGTGTTCTAACCACTTGGCTAAAGACATTAGATGGTGAGCATTGTGTGTATTTCTGGCTAATTTTTATAAACATATTAGAATTTACTAAGAAAGAAGAGGAGTTCGTTAATACTTCACGAAATTTACGAAATTCTAGTGTCGATCCCAAATACTGGGCTACAACAAGTGAATTAGCGTACTCAGTGGGGAATATATGCGAATGTTATGTATATATTTCTAATCTTAATATTTATATTTCAAACTTAGAAAAACACAAACCAACAATCACTTCTGGAACCTTTGAAAAAGTAAGGGTAATTTCCTGATGTATTTTCTAGAATTTGTGGCATACTACCCTCTATAAACGACATTTTTGTTGAGAGGGAAGAAATTCTAAAAGAAATCAACCGGAAATGTCGAAAAATTCGGAAACCAGAACTCGCAGAGAATGGAAATGAAATTTCAGGAAGGAATAAAAAGGTAACATCAATTTTACTGCTTATATCTCCAGATTTCACAATCAGTTGATTCGTTAACAAGTCGTTTACACGCTATTGAATACATAATAAACGTCAATTTGGTAGATCTCACTTCAACGTTAGAAGTTTTTTTATCGTCATCCTTCCATGTAAGTATCTAATTCATTTTCTCATCCCTTTCACCAGCACTGATAATTTATTCCAAAGAAAGAATATTGTTAGAACGTTATATTTAGTGAACCAATGACTAAATGCATTTTTATGTACCCGGCCACGTATTTTATCTGACGCCCAACAAATAGTACACAGTTATTTAGACTAAATGAAGTAAGTCGGGGTTCAGACCTCCGGCCAACATATATTTAATATATTACATTTTAACAGGTGAACAGAAGTGGCTTATGTTTGTTGGCTATCAGTAAAACGTCTTTCTATACTTTTAGATTTAATTTTAGAACGTTCTGTAAATGAATTATGTATGACCAGCAAAATATTGCGAAATTATTGATTTCTTAGATAAGAACACTCCGTTTTTATGACAGTGAAGGGTTTCATCAAATGATCAGAAATATTTGGTTGCTCACCTCATAATAATAATTCACTGTGTTGCGTGTTAATAGAGGAACTGAAGGCAGTTTAAGGAGGGAAATAACCGATTATCTTAGTTTGGCAGATAAAAATACGATTGCATTGGTGTAGATGTCATGAAGAAGAAATTTATTCGCTAAACCGCCTTAAATAGTTCTATGTAAATTTTGCTACTGTTTAGATTCAACAGAATCGTAAAATTAGAACCTCCGTTATTCCTGGTGAACCAATACATCTATTGTATTTTGCACATCGAGTTCACTGACAAGAATAGAAATCGAGGGGTTGTGTCTGAATATCATGTTAGTTAAAGCTAGTTAAAATGTACTTTCTAAACATTAAGTGATTAGTACTTTTTCGGCTTCGAATTGTTTTAATGCTTTTTCTGTTAAACTAGCCTAAATTTGTTAACTTAATACTTTTAAAACTATACAAATATTTGGTTGTGTTTTGTATTTGAACCTCCATATGAGAAGTCAGTCATTTACTGAGTAACTTAGTACAAAACTAATAAAATAAGGAAGATTGATTCATCGAAGAGTCCATTATGTCAAACTCATTTTTGAAGCTATACTGTCTCAAATATATACTTATTAATCAAAATGATAATTGATGACAATAATAGTGATAAAATTTTGATAAACTTTGTATCAGTGAAGTTCAATAAGTAAAGGCAGCAAAACGTTATTTTCTCTGCAGACCTTTTAACCCCAATTGATTTGTCTCTATTTCTATACTCTTCCTGATTAAATTTAATCTAAATTTCAAATTTTTCGACCTATCACTTGGAGCTTTCCCTTGCCAATTATAATTTCCCTATTGATCCTCATGTTGAATACTCAACCTCTCAACAACAACATTACTATCAGATACCTTAATAAAAATAATATTTTTATGCCTTCATTTGTTTTACCTCACTATTACCATGTTTAGAAGAATTTAATTATCAATCTTACTACTATTATTATTATTTTGTGAAATAAGTATTTATTTGTAACTGTACAGCTTTGAATATGAATTCGCTGTAAAGATAAATTTCTGAACCAATCTTTTTTTGTCTCAATGTGTACAAAATTAATACACTAAAAGAAATTATAGCTTAAAATGATTATTTTATTAGTGACACACTCTTTAAATAAAATAACCTGATCAATGTTTTTTGTAGTCCGTAGAAATAGGTAGTAACTTCTTATTTCAAATTAAAGTCAGAAATTATTGAAATCCAAACAATCGTATTGAATAGTGTGGTATTTATATATGACAAAAAGTTTTACATGTTGGGAATATAAAAAATCTCCCACGAAAATATAGTAATAATATTGTGAAAAATAAATATACGATGGGTAATATGATCGACTAAGAAATGAACAGAAATAATATTTAACAGCGCATTTGAGAAATACAGTTTAAGAAACCCACTCAGTTAAGGTAGTTTATTTCTATACATATATACCACATTTACGCACTTTTCCACTCAGTCCCAGTATCGACAAAGAGTGTGGCAGTCGGTGGGGTGACATTCATAAAACATAGCTAAATCACCGAAGTCAGTGTTTTAAGCTGGTGACACTGATTTAATTGTCATCACCGTCTGAATACACACTACTGGGCCCATGTATTACTAACACAATGTTGTCACTAAATGTGAAAAACTCTTCGAAAAGCAATAATCGAACACAAGGTTGCCGAATTTCTTGAACTTGGAGGAGTCAGGTTTTACATTGATAAACTAAAACTACTCTGGTTAACACACTGTAAACCAGAATTTTTACAGCTAAAATAACATCACATCAACGCCAAAGTTAACTCACAATTTCATAAACTGTTCTGGTTCACGCTGTACCTACATGCGCGAACTTTACAAACATTTCTAATGGTTCACTATAGAAAGTGTACTTGCAGGCTTCTATAAGTCTTGTGGGTTTACTCTAGATTTTGAAGATTCATATATTCTGTACCTAAGGACACTGATTCCCAACTAATTATGACCAAGTCGGGCAGCATGCGTATCATCATACAGTGAGATGATGTTGTCCACATAATCAGAGTCGAAGTCTACATTATGTACTTTTTGTTTTGAGTTATAGTTTGACTGAAGTTAGGAAGATACATATCGCCGGTTTCTAACTTTAAATGAGTATAGTGGTAGCATGCATGTTACCTACACCACTTGACAGCGATAAGCTCAAACCTGTGTAGAATTTGCATTGATCATTTCTAACTCATAAAATAAAGTGAAATACCTGTCCAGTATCCCCTGATTTTCAATTATTCTCTAGATTGTATTAGTTCAAGCGATAGAATAGTTTTGGATTTAATATGGCTCATTTTTCACAACAGGTAGATAATATCAGTATTAGAAATCGACACATGCACAACAAGTCATACTTAATGCCGATCGTGTGATATCGACCAACTTGCAGCATTGTGATATCGTATGCATGTTGAGTTGCACGAGATTTCGAGTCACGTAGACTAGTGACCACGCTGCAACTTGATCGTTAGAATTAGGTTAGCACTAGAAACTTATTGGTCGATCAATTGTCAACATATGCATTCTTTTGTTAGACTTATTTTCACAGTTATTATCACCTCAAATGTTTTTTTCGAATACATAAATACTAGGCTCATCTCGATTGCACTTACGAATTTTTCCAAAAAGCATCGATAGTCAATCAACAAATGTCAGATTTATTGAATACTGGTGAAAGTGAACTCAGTCTGTTAGATAAAAAAATGGACGAGGATATGAACTCCATATACAAGCTTTTACATCTGAAATCTGAAAAATAATTAATTCTTGATTTGTTGACATTTTGTTGGTTCATCTTCATCTTGTTCAGTTCTATTTTCCTCAGAATTTTATTGGTATGGTGCAATCTAATTTGGTTTTTTATTAAATACAATTATTTTAAAAGAGGTAGATTGTTTTCTGTTTCCTAACTTACCTCACTAATGTCCTAACTGCAGTTTTCTTTTAAATTGATGAGAAACCACACAACATATGAGTTTTGTTAACTTGTTGAACAGACTAGTTCAGATTACTACTTCAAATGGACATGGATAATAATTGATTATCCGATATCCTGAACACCTGATTGTCTTATTTACTTGGTAATCAAGTTTTGTGATATATTACTTACACCTGTTACCCCTCATGGATGAGCATAGGCCACCCACCAGGACTTCCCATCAAACTCCGCCCCGAGCAATCCTTCCCAGTTGCTATTCTTTTTCATGTCTGCTTCCCATTCTCGGCGCAGTGTGTTCTTTGGCCTCCCTCTTTTTCGTTTCCCTTCAGGATTCCAAGTTAGCGCTTGCCTCGTGGTGCGGTCTGATGCTTTCTACAATGTGTGTCATAACCACGTCCAACGTCTTTTCTTAGTTTCCTGTTCAGCCGGTAGCTAGTTTGTTCTCTCATACAGTAGGTTGTTGCAGATGGTATCCGGCCAACAGACATTCAGTATCTTACGTAGACAATTGTCTATAAATACTTGTGCATTTTTGATAATGGTTGTGGTAGTTCTCCAAGTTTCAACTCCGTACAGTAGAACTATCTCTACGTTCGTAATGAAGATTCTGACTTTGATATTGACTGGCATTCGTTTTGAGTTCCATATGTTCTTCAACTGTATGAATATTGTTCTCACTTTGCTAATCATTGCTTTTATGTTCGCATCGGATCCTCCTTGTTCATCGATGATGCTGTCCAGATGGGTGCGCGAAAGTTTCCACCTCTTCCAGAGTTCCTCCATCAAGTGTGATTGGGTTGGCGTTCTACGTGTTGTGTTTGGGGATGTTGCTATTTCCGTCGTGTATGTTGAGACCTACTGCTACTACACTGTTTGTCGCGACCTGCATTTGTTGATGTATGGTGACGAGTTCCGTTCAACGATTATCTGAAGCATCGCGATTTGGTATGTGCACGACCGGTCCTTACGGAATTCAGCCTGTTGATACTGAAGTTGGGCGTCTATTGAGTCATCTATCCGGTTCAGCAACACCCTGTTGAGAACCTTTCGTGGTACTGATAGTAATGTGATGCCTCCATAGTTCTCACATTTGCTCAGATCTCCTTTTCTTGGTGAGGTACCCTTCATTCCAGTCTGTCGCCACTTGTTCCTCCTCTAAAATCTTCCTGAATAGAATATGGGACATGATTGCAGTTACTTCTATGTCTGACTTGAGTGATTTGGCTGGTATATTGTCAGGTCTTGCTGCTTTCCTACTCTTGATTTGTCAGATGGCCATGCTGATTTCGTTCGCTGATCGAGTGACATCCCTAGGAAGGTCTGTGTGTGTTGTTTTGACGTGTGATGGACTCAATGGAGCTGGTTTATTCAAGAGTTCTTCGACGTATTCCACTTTTCTGTTCCTCTGTTCTTGGATTTCAGTAATTGGCTTGCCTTCTTTTTCGTTGACCGGTCTCTCTCGTTTACTATGTTTCCCTACCAGTCTCTTCATTGTGTCATATAGCTGTTTGGTATTCCCTTCTGTTGCAGCGTTTTCCACTGTCGTTTCTAGGTCTTCCACGTATTTCTGTTTGGCAACTCTAGTGCTTATCTTCACTTGCTTGTTGCTTATGTGTATTCGGCCTGCGCCTCGCCTTCCTTTGCTGTTTTCCGACTGTTGTTTTCTTGTTTTTCATTTCTTGATTACTGGTCCAGGATTTCCATAGAGACCCATTGCGTATGATGATGCTTGTTGTGGTCCAGAACCTCCTGACATGTTGAAGTTAGTGTTTCTTTGATCCCTTCCTAGTTGCCTTCCATAGTGGTTTCTTCTTCTTTGAGTGGACCTTGTAAGGCTTGAAACCTGTTGTTGAGAGTTGTCTTGAATTCGTCGAGCTTGTTAGTATCTCGAATGAAGGCTGTATTGAACCTTTATAATACTGTCCCCCCCCCAGTTGTCCAGTGTTTCTTTAGCTTCAGTTTCATCTTGGCCACAATTAGGTGGTGGTCTGAAGCTCTGTCACCTCCTCTCCTGGTTCTCGCATCTCTCACTGTCCTTCTGAAATTTTATTGATACAAAAATGACCAATCTTGTTATCTGTGGCGTGGTCCGGTGATATCCATGTAGCTTTGTGTGGAAATATTGTACCGCCCATAACCAATTTGTTCGTAATGAAGATTATGACTTTGATATTCATTGGCAGTCGTTTTAAGTCCCATATATCCTTTAACTGTAGGAGTACTGTGCCTGCTTTATCAGTCCTTGAATTTACGTTGTTATCGAATCCTCCTTGTCCATCGATGATGCTGCCCAGATGGGTGCGTGGATGTTTTTGCCTCTTCCAGAGTTTACTCGTCAAGTGTGGTTGGGTCGGTATTCTCCCTGTTGTATTTGAGGATCTTGGTTCTCCTCTTGTGTATTATGAGGCCTACCGCTGATACACTAATAGTCTGTACTGCATTTCTTCGCGTGTATCGGACAGAAGAGCTAGATCATCTGGAAAGTTTAAATCGTCTAGTTGCATCCAACCTGTCCATTTTATTCCGTGCTTCCTGTGAAATGTCGGTTTTCATAATATAGTCAATTACCAGAGGAAGGGCGAGAGTAAGCTGCCGTCTGACCCGGGTCCTCACTTGGAATACTCCTGTCAGCTGTCCTCCAATCACTGTAGGCTGTCGTATGAATTCCTCATGATGTTGACGAATGTGATATATATATATGACTTTATTTGAAAGTAGTCAATATATTAAAACTATAGTATTGAAAACGAAGTTTGTTTATATGAATGAACTCGAAATCTTAAGTAATCTCACTACTGAGACTGATTACGTACGTATGTCTAATGACCGTTGTCACCGCCTAGGCTGAAATCCTCAGTTACTCAAACCCGTTAGCATTTACATAGGATTGGGCGGGAAATAAGTAGTCGACAACTCAAAACTCGGACCTAACCATACATTAAATTCGTACAATATGGACTCTCAGTGGTTGGGAAGCCTATCGTTCAGACGCTACAGTACTGAATTTTTACAACGTCTACGCAAGCTGAATTTGCGCACTATTTCAGCTATCTCCACTTAACAAAGGAACTACAGCAGTTTACGTACGGAATGTCAACTGATAAACCCTAGCAGAGTAAACTATAAACTTGTTCGATAATTGTTTTATTTTTCACAGACCACAAAATCACATACATTACACATCACGAAATCTAGTGACTCACACGACACAAAATGAAACGCGTGCGAAGACGTTTTCTAAACACACCAGTAAATTATTCTGCACCATTAACAGGTAGGTATCAGGAGTGTATGCAATGCTTGGACACCTTTTTTATTTACGACCTGGGACGAATAATTTCGACGATGACTACAGAAAGCAAACGTTTTACTGACTAATGTTGCGAACGAAACCCAAGACGTAAACGACTTAATGGTCCGGCGAAGGTGGAGGCTAAAGACAACACAGATTAATATGAAAATCAACGTTCAGTGTGCGATGACAGTATCTGGTCACATCGTACCTGCGATATCACGGAAGTAGATCGAGGCGTCTCAGTTCGTCTCCCCAGGGAGGATCATAGTCGTTCCCCTGTAACAGCACCTTGAAATTATCGCAGCCGTATACAAACCTTATCTCCACAGATCACCAATGACCACTCCTTCGACGGTTTCACAACTTATCACCTCCAATGGGCTTACACATCAAGCTCGAAACCTTATAAACGTCAGTCCGTAACAGTGGGTAGGCAAGGCGAGCGGCCCTTACTGGGAACCCTATCGACACATAAATTAGAGAACTTCGTGTAAAACTGAGGCTGGTTTCCGTATCAAATAGTTGCGAAGTAGAGGACTTATTATTCCTATTTGGCCTCACAACTAAGATGGTTGGTTTTGTTATACGCTTTCACCCTATTACACAGAACGGGAGGACAATGACCATCTTGCAGCCAAACTCTTCATGAGTTACGTTGAGTAGTAAGGAAGCATCAACGTATTTGACAGAACATGAAATACACACCTATAATTTAACTCACCCATGTGGAGCACCAACGCGTTGCTTTCGTGTCGGACTGTGTTACGATTAGGTTTCAAGTCATGACAGTCGCTTAAGTTAACGGGAAAAATACACTAAATGCACTGTCATTCACTGCTTGGACCTAACTGCACATCACAACGTGCCATATAACCGATGTGAAGTTGCAGCATAGCAGGAACCGATGATTAAAGTTCTTGTTGAGAAGTGACGAGTACCCGATTATAATTGTATTTAGTACAATCTGTGCGGTTTACCCATAGTACTCTTAATGTACAAACACCTGACGTTCTGCCAATTCTTCTTCAATAGCGTTACCAGGAAGTTTATTGACAAGTTGATATTTTGAGCCAGCTCCTCAGGAGTCATTTTTACGTGGCCAACAGCCACATTCAGGCAGAGAACCTTTTTCATCTGGAATTTGACAGTAGCTTTTATTTCGTCAACCTTATTCATTAGTGGCTCGTTGTGTGTGACTGCACTTGGAAACTTCCCGTACTTGGTTAGTATTGGAACCACTGTCCTTGTAAACTGACGGATGATGGTCTCACTGGCGACAAAAGCGTGGTAACTCTTGGCTGCAAACATTAGTGCATGATGTCAACTTACCGAATTTTTTCAACGGCTTCTTCTCTTTGCCAAATTTCTTCAATTCTTCCGCATCCATACATGGAATTCCTGCTGCTTTGGCCTCGTCGCAGTGTTGTTCGTCCCCAAGCACACACACAGACATTCTGGGACGTGGAATGTGCTTTAGTCTACAATAAGATGCGACTTGTAATATGCGGCGATTGGCCTCCCACACAATTTTAGAACCCTGGGTAGGGGTTCATAAACTTACCGCACAGTCCCGGTGAATCTTTTGTCCTTCTGAACGTCATAGTTTTTTAACGCTATTTGTAGCTCAACAGTTTCGGTAAACTTCCGTTTCTTCACTTTGTTGCTGTAATCAATAATATCAGCACATGACCGCAGCAGAAGATCCTTCGGTACCTTACTAAAAGAGAAAAACTTAGTTAGCGCGATTTAACATATTAATGTCAGAACTTCTTAGAGGGGAACAATCACTAGTCTTTAGGAAGCTATCATCACCATAAAAACGATGCTCACCTCATGACCACGCTCCAACTACTGAATGACGCTGGACACTCAGACCGTTAGGCGTTCAAACAAATTTCAACTTTCAACATCTTCAATCTTCATAGTCTCACTAAACATAATAACCATCCAAGATTTCATCTATTTATTTCTTCATTCCTTGTAGTGAGACTTGGACATGATGAAGCAATCATTTTCGATTGACTTTCACCTGTGATTTGTGAAATACGTTCGGAGCCCCAACCCTCAGTCTTCAAGAGCAAATGTAGGTTCATCAAACTATCACTAAGCCCTAGCCAAATCATAGGGCGTTTGGGTCAGTGAATATCGAAAAGGTCATGATAATATTATTGATAATAATATATTCTCGAATAACAGTTGGTTAAATGAGGCATGCCAGTTTTCAGTCAAGATTTGTCTGTTAAATTACCAACCAATCGGATGTATATCCAAAAGGCAACAAGAACGCACATCTGTTTGTAACTTACCCACTTGCATAAGCAAGACAAGACCAACTGTCGATCATAAATTCATCTTTCTGCTTAATGATTATCAACCATTTTCTTTCAGAAACTATCTAATAGAATTTTTTATTTGCTTGACCACTGCCTGCCTAATTTTCAATTGCTGAGTTCCTTTGTCAAACAGAGGATGCGAATGCTAAAACGTTACTGTGGGTTTGAACAGTAAATTTCCTACAATCCTGGGCCTCTTTTAGACTGCTTGTCAGTTAATGTTTCGTATTTGGCTTAAATTGATTTTGTGCTTATACAAATACAGTGTACAATACTATGTTAATCCAAGAATTTAATCAACAGTACCTCGTATATAATCCAGATTTGAAATGATGTCTACCTCAAGTTCTCATTACTTGGAAGCAAGGGTAACCCAGAGGAGTTTCATACTTGTATTAGATAATTTCGTACCATGTTTTCGGTGCATAATAAGGTTTCGTGGTTTCTTTCACACAGAGTAGTCATATATTCCGTCACTACCGTCAAATCGTAGTCGAAATCATGCACATTTATCACTTGTTAGCCGACATACTGTGGAAAAACTTATTGTATGTACACGAGCAATCTTAATCCATGTCCTAACTAGACACTTCGTCGTACGTAAAATATCACTTTACGTTAGATAATGAGCTCTTTTCATCAGCCTTTTACGAAATGGTCACGTTATCTGAACCTTCTATACTTTAGTTACATTGGTAATTACCAATTCTATCAATGTTCACCATAGGCTTCCCTATGACACGTCAGTCATTTTAATTCCGTTTTCGGTTTATTTACATGCAATACGGGCTTGGAAAACATTTAAACGACATCTGAAATTCTTCAGGAACCCCACCATATTATTCATATATATTTTCATTCACACATCCAACTGTTACACTAAAAATACCTGAGTATTCAGTGCAACTGTCTGTATACGTAAGAACGATGTTATTTCGATGTGACGTTATAACATATCCTTACTATTGTAGTCACTCAACATCGACGTCGTACATCATTTCCTAGTAGTTATTATCCAACGAACGATTTCAAACATCAGTTGACTATCCAAACACTCAACGATTTAAGGCCGTCCAGTGCAATTGGTGGTGTGACGATACCATTTTTCACGCGTACCATCAGTTTACACAGTCAAGCGAATCTCCTGTAGATTGAAAACGACATTGTCGTCTCTATCCCGACACCGACAGTTTTACGCCGGTATCACTGATATAAGTCCAGAGTGATACTCTTGGTTTCCTATGTTCTTTTCGGCATTTTTTTCGGTTCACTTATCAAACAAACATGCATTACTCACTGTTTATCATCTTTTAGAGACTTCATCGTACCACCTTTGCTGTCGATTTGTAGTCTTCGACTCCTACTAATTGTAACAGCGGTCGGTGGCCCTTTAAACTCTGATTATAGAATGAACAATAGCTTCACACAACGAAATCACGACTACTCTTCACGGTTATACGTCTGTACTTACAGTTAGTCTGTTAAAAATAGATATAACTAGGATTCAACGCTTAAGAACAGGGGCTGTTAACGACACTGTCTGACTTTAAACCAATGGTAGTACAAACATCGTAATCGATCGATAATACACTTGTCGTACTATCACTCTAGCATCATTGTTCTTGCGGCAAACTTAACGTTTCTCATTTAGTGAACTCAATCACTTGTCAAAGCTATCTTCAAAACGTTGTTTTTCCCATTATTTCTATGGGTAATCGTCCTAGTAACTTATTATTACTTTCCGTTTCCGGATCAGTTTCTGCTGCCTTCTTCCGAGTTGTCTTGCAGCTCGGCAATACCTGTAGGATTCATACCAGTCGTTTAGCAACCCGCGGCGCGCGACTACCGCCAACATATTTGGTATCGATTCAAACAGTCGTTGTATCTGGCGAGAGAGTGTTGTGGAGTCAGTGGGATGTCACTGAGCCCTAGCCAAATCATCCGGCAATTGGGTCACTGCATATCAAACGGGATCATCAGCATAATAATTTATTCTCAAATAACAAGCTGGTACATAAGGCACACCATTTTACAGGCAAGATCAAATTGTCGCAGAAGATACAGTCTTCGCTGTGGTGGGTTGCTCATTTAGTTTGATATTTTATAAGGTGCACTGATCATAAAATTATTGGAGATAACACATTTAGTGTGACGTCGAGTCGCGGTTGACTATAATCACTACAAGAAGGTTGCGAACCAGATATAAGAAGGCGATTGGAGGTTGTAGCGAGAAATATTTGTTGGCAATCTCGTGGTATCGAAAGAATACCGAGATCTTGCCGAAAGAGTACAAGCAGAATCACCGAGCAAACGTGAGCGCGTGCAATCACAACTGATCGGTAGACGGGTAATTGTAGGACGAGAGGGTTGGCAGAGCAGGAGGCGATCGTTGATCCTCGAGTTGCCACCGAAGGTCTTTTACGCAGAACGGTACCAGGAGAAACGAGACGTATTTGTTGGTCGAGTTAGCGTACCACAGAGTGGTTTGTGTCCAGGATCTGAGAATTGCGTTCGTAGTGGTGCGGACCAGAAAACGCTGCAGACATAGGACGAAACCACGTTGAGCCAAGAAAACAGAAGCGACCATAACAATCAAGCTCGAGACCAAACATATGCCAGACAAATTCGAAACCAGAATATCGACTGAGTGTGTTGACAAGAGCGTGGATGATCAGGCCAGCTTTCGCCAAGGTTGACTGAAGTCGACGGTACCAAGAGGGTGATGGTCGGAGGCGTGGGCTCAGGATACAAAAAAATCAAAGAAAAGGAGAAAAGGTGTAGCATGCATGTAGTATAAGAATAGTCCTACACCGTATCCGGTGTTGATTTTGAGGTTAGTCGCGAAAGCGTACGGATAGGCGTACTCGGCGACTGGAACGTTAGACGGCAGTCTCGTTAGTACCTCGTGAGCCTGCAATCTCATCCGAAGTCAAGGGCAGCGTGGTCTGCTGATCTGGACGTGAGACTGAAGTCTCGTCCGTCGATGGGCAAATGACACGTGCTGTTGACTGGGACGTGAGAATGAGGTCTCTGACGGATGCTATTAAACGCAACTCAATTTCGTAAACGTGGCCTTCAGCTTAGCAACTAATCAGAATGAGGCGGGAATTATTGTATCTGCCATCTTTGTAAGCAATGGTGGTCGGCATTCTCCGTTCTGTGCTTTTTCAGCTATTTCTTTTGTGTAGCTACAGAATTTAATGTTTCAGTGTGCTAAAATGCAGAAGTTAATGTCGTACTCTGAATGTTGGGGCAAAATGTTTCCTAATTTTGCTTCGTTTTCTGGGTTTCGGCTGCTTCTCAAGTCAATGTGTTTCCTCAGCCAAGCTGGCTAGTCTTATCTGTTTTGACTTGTTTTCTAGATACACAAAGCCGAAGCTCGTTTTTTAGCTAAAATAATTGTTGCTCCCGCCTGTGACTAACTGTCCGCATGTTCGTTCCTAACTGTCCTTTACGATGTTGTCGGCAAAATGAAAGGAAACAATCTCCAGTTTTTAATTTTCTTCAGTATTATGGACAACACTATCCCACCAACGAGTCAAACTAATACTGAGTGCCCAGCAGTAGGGGTATCAGTATTGTTTTCGAAAGGACCCAGACTTTCGACAACCATAGACAAAGTCACAGATGCTACCAATCTATTTCAGAGAGTTTGTTATAAAAAATATGCCATATAGCAGTAATGGAGGGGTTGTACTCATTACGTAGTGCGTTAAAGCAAACTTAACATTGAAAAGCCGGAAATCTGCTATCAGTGTGTAGTGTATGTTTGCTGTTTTGGCCATAAAAGGAAGCCGAAGGGTCATGCTCAGGGAGTAAAAAGGTAATTAACTGTTATTAAGCTCACTTTTTTATAGATCATATTTCACCACTCGCAAATTCGTTTTTTTACGGTATGATGTCAACCGTTACCTAATATGTTCACCCTTACTATGAAAAGTACCTGCAAATTCTCACCTTCATATTCGAATTATTTTTGAACAACTGTCTTCCAGTTTGAGTGCTTCGTACGCCCTGGGAGACTAGATTCCTACATTATTCGTAGTTCCAGTATAACTTAATCACTCAGTAAGTTCAAAGTAGACACTAGGCTTTCCTAATAAGCCTGTTAAGCTAATATCCGTATTCTCTATTTCAGTTAATCGATGAAGACATGTACCATGTGTATCTGCTGTATACTGCCATTTTACTTCAATTCTAACTGTTATATCTTCTGAAAAATAAAATTGCTATATGTAGCAAATACAGACTTATTCGTTTTGATGGAGATAAGGGGGTCCATGGGGTTGTTAGCAGGACTGTAGTAATATTCTCATTAAAGAGCTAAGCGACTGCGTAGACCAATGTAACGTACCATACAGGGTGCCTTTGAATTACTAGTGTTCCATTAGTGCGGGTAGGGGCATAGCTTGTCTATCATATGGCATTTGAATAAGGAGCTATGAGATTAGATGCGGGGACGGTTAGGATGCGTAACGCGTGTCCATCAGCTCCGTGACAAC